ATCTATCTATCTATCTATCTATCTATCTATCTATCTATCTATCTATCATCAGCCTGTCTTTATAGCCATCTAGCTATCTTCTACCTGTCTTCTCACTATTGAAATGGCTTTGTAAGGTGGTGGGGCACTCATTTTTTCATTGCTTTCTTTGTACACTCTGTACTCACGGGATGTCAAGTAATATGTAGGGTATCCATACTTAGGGTATCTGGCCTGCCTCAGTGATACAGTTGGGTAGTTCGAAGAAAAAAAAAGAAGAGGCAGATGCTGTCTGACCGAAGTCCTTCGAGAGGAGAGGACCGATACCTGGGAATGATCGTTGCGGGTTGCAGGGAAGTGACCGTGGAAAGTCTGAGGTCCAAGTGTGTGAGGAGGGTCTGAGGCACAACAAGGAGGACACTGTGGGTGGACTGGATGGAGAGAAGAAAGTGGTAGGACGAGAGGAGGCCAGAGAGATGGGCCAGGGGTGTGAGGGCAGATTCAGGTGACGTCATAGGTCTTGCTAAGGACTTGGTTTTTGCTCTGAGTAAGAGAAAGCCACGGGCTGATTTAGCAGAGATTGTGCTAGCGATGCTCTGGTTCCTGTCCTGAGACTCTGTGGGTGAGAAGACGGAGGCCGTCAGAGAATGTGATGACTCAGGCCAGGCTGCTGGTGGGCAGAGGGATGAAACTCAGATTATGGTCATATTTGGGGATTTGCTGACAAGTGGGGATAAAGAAAAATTTTTTAAAGAGTCAGAAAATTTCAAAGTTTAGGCCCTACCAACTGAAAAAGGGAACGGCTATTTGCTGAGACAGGAAGATAGGAAGAGGCCAGCATTTGGAGAGGACCCGGAGTCTACTGTGGACAGAAATAGGAAGAGACCAGCATTTGGAGAGGACCCAGAGTCTACTGTGGACAGAAGATGGAAAGAGGCCAGCATTTGGAGAAGACCCGGAGTCTACTATGGACAGAAGAGATAAACTATTGCAAATCTGGTTGAAATTAAGTTGAGAATCTGCAGTTCAGAAAAGTGACCATCTAGAGTCCCCCTGAGCCAAACTACCACACGATGGCCAGGTTCCAAAGGAACCAGATAAGGCA